AGTTGTCAAGCAGTCCATTTATTTTGACTGCTGCAGTCAAAATACATCACAATGCTTTCATATGGGCTTTCTTGTGCTTAAGTCACACCATTGCAGTCCGTTCAGATGCAGTCAGAAAAAGTACTGCTTGTCCTATTTTACATGCATCAAACTGCATCGAAACGCATCAAAACGCAGTGCAACCGCATCACACGCAACGGAACGCATACAAAAAAAAACAGATTTAGAATTGATTACGTCATCACCCAGGGACTTCCTCTTTGTAGTATGGAGAGAAAGTGAAGAGATGGAATTTGTGGATGCAGGTGATTTCATCCAATGTGTGCGGGGCTGTCCCCTGCTGTACAACAGCAAACATCCCCAATATAAGAATAATTGCCACAAGATGGCAAAGTAGAGGGAGATTACTGAAAAGTTGCACCCAGATCTTGGGGCTATGAACCGGGTACAGAAACAGCAATGTGGTGAGTTCACTTTTTCACAAACTTCTATATAAGGTCTGTCTAATTAGCATTAGTGCAGAAAAAAACGCATGAAAATGAATTGCAAACATGTCAAAATGCATTGCAATGCAACTGTGCAGACGCACGCAGTTGTGATGCAGTTTCTGGTGTGAACTAACCCTACACTGGGGAACAAGCTTAAATTAAAGGGTGCTGTGAGGCAGCTTGGTTTGGCATCTTGAAATGCCCACATGGCTTAGCAAAGATAGCTGAACAAAGGATTAAGGGTTGACGATTAGGCTAGCACTGCTGTCAGATGTCAGCTTGCTCCCTCCGTACTTGTCAGCCAGCAGGTTCTGAATCATTTACTCTTATGATCATTACTACTATGCTGAAACACAATCACAGGTAAAGAATGAGCGGCTGAATAAAAGGCATCAGAGTCTGGGAAGTGTGTTTCCAGGACCAGAGCTTGTTACACTCCCCTGCCACCAGTGTTCTTTTGAAAAGGCTCTCTGTCTGGCAACAGCTTTTGCAGTATCATTAATATGTTTTTGCCTAGCCAGAATAATGTTTGTTTCTAATATGTCCTTAAGTTCAGTTAAAGCGGACCTTTACACTCAAAAATCAAATTCTACCAATGCATCCCTCTGCGTATGATGATTAATAATAACAGAGACATGTCAGGTGTACACTGCTGTGATTTTGAAATACTTACACTTGCAGAGCATTCACTTCCTGCTTTGAAAGGGCAAAATTACTTCAGTTTGCCATAGCAATGCACACTGGGATTGCCTTGTCATTGAAATAATGAGGATGTAATGCCAAAAGCATTGCATCCTAGGAAGGTTACATCAGCAGAGCATTGCTGGGAAATCTCATCTGTAATCACACGTGATCTCAGGGAAATGCATTTTTCTCCCTTGAGGTAATGTGCATGGCCACATGTCCTGGTCACATGTGCCAGAGTTTAAGGAAGTAAAAGAAGAGCTAGTAATCTGCCCTTACTCAATATTGCCACTGCCAGAAGACTGGGGAAGAAAAGAGAAATAAGGAATGCAAAGAATACAAAGCCGGCAATTATCTAGAAGTATGTGTTTGAAGATTGGCATTACTAAACATTTCTAAAGGTGTGTTTGTTGTTATTCTAAAGAAATGGGTAATGGTCCGCTTTAATAGCAGTATACAGGTCTCTATTTATAAAATGTCTGCAAACCATACAGCTCTACAAACAAGCACATTATGGTCACTAGATGGAGCTGAGGAGCAGAGGAACTTCCAATACCCCTCAGCTCCATCTAGTGTCCATAATGTGCTGTGAGTCTCGTTCGCAGAGCTGTTAGCTTGTTAGCTCTGAAAATGTTTCATAAATAGGCTCCAGAGTATTTATGTTCTTCGTTCCTTATGTTCATTACTAAAAAAAAAATGAGGGCTGCAGCTAGGTCATAGCAGCACGATCTCCCAAAACGATATAAAACATACATTACAAAAAATGTAGATTAACAAAATACATACAAACATTTCTCTTTAAAATAGAACTATGGCCCAACCTTTTTTTTTGCCCTAGTTCTGTTTAGGGTCACAGGAGGACATATACTAATGTCCTCCTATGACCCAAAACTCAGCATATAGCACACTATTGCCTGCTATATGCTGTCAGCGCAGAGCCGCGCTGCAGCTGGGTTGATTACGACAATATTGTTGGGATCTACACTGCTGCCTGATTGACAGCTGGCTCTGACTTTCTAGAGGCAAAACCAGCTGTGTACGCCCCCTTCCCCCGTCTGATCCCCCAGGTAGCTCTGGAGGAATAGAGAGGGGAGAAGGTGATCCTTCCGGGGAGTGGTGACTGACAGTCATCGCTCTCTGCAGGGAGAAGTTTGGGAACTAATCGATCAGCGGTATGAGATCACTCAATTCTCGATCAATAGAGCCAACGTGTGACAGCTTCAGTGTCACGCCTTGGCTCTAATTATGGGGATGAGTGCATTTCCCTCTCCCATAATTCTCCTTTGATGTAATCAGTCTTACCCTGAATGGTTTTCCATATACTGATTCGCCCCCTGTCCCGGTGCCTGTTGGATCTCCCCCTTGAATAATGAAGTCAGGCACAACTCTGTGGAATATTGTGTTATCATAATAACCTGGAAAAACAAAGAAATTGATAAATGCTCAATTGTAAATACTTGCTCTTGTGAAAAAAAAAAAAAAATTAGTCATGATGATGCAGACACAGGATAGACAACAATGACCTAGAGATTGTAACCCGATGAGTTGCGGAGCAATTTTCCAATTTCAGCTATGGACCTAATAATTGAGCAATAACTTTATTACTTATGAAACAGAATTAAGGCATATTTTTGAAGGGGGACAAACAACACTTTCTTTTCTTAGCATTGTCACCCAAGAGTTATTTCATTTTCTATATAACAAATGCAAAAAAATAGAAAATATACATCTTTTTCAGTCTGACACTTGATATTTATAAAACAAATGCTACTAAATAAATATAAAAGTAATAATTTTAGGAAAGACTTGTTAAGAGAGCCGGGAGCAAGCGGCAGAGACACAGGTACGTTTTTACCTATTTGGTAACTTTTTTATTTTTTAAAAATATTTTTGCATATATCTACTGCTTGTTAGCAGTAGATATATGTTAAAAAAAAATTGACTTTAATACCACTTTAATTTAACATTTTTTTCATGCAGCATGCTGGCTGGTCTGATGATGCGATAGGTCCTTCTCCTTCAGCTCCAGTGGCGTTGGTAGGCAGTCCTTCCTCCTGGAATGAGTGATGCTTACATAATGACATTTTAGCGCCATTCATTCAAGAAATACTTGGAGCCCATTCTGCATGCAGGCACTGCCCCAGGGGTAGGTCCCTGACTATCTGGACCCACAGGAAGTGGGCTCGGATGACGCTAGCCAGCTTTCAACCCAGAAGATAAGCAGTACCACAGAGCAAAACAATGCTTTTCTACTTTTGAATTTAACTCATGTGCAAAAAAAAAAGAAACATAGCAGTTACCAGAGTCACAGCTAACTACAGTGTATCAATTTCTGTTTATATTTTAAAAGCATTGAGCAAAAACACGTATTTTTGCTGACCAATACTGAACTTCTGTAGCATCAGTTAGACAGACTTGGAACTTGGCTGCCAAAATGACAAGATGTCCTGGCAGCTACATGCCTGGGTACATGCTCAGCTGAAAAAGGAGTCTATGACATACAAGATAAGCCCCTGGTGGCATGGGTAAAGACAACATTTATTTGTGAGATTAGCTAATTTGTATAACATTAGGTCTGGCACTTTCACAAACCAAAACAAAGTCAATAGGTTTATTTTTAAGCATCAACAGGACATAAAGTAATGAGAAATCTAAAATTTGTGTTGTCACCGAAACAGAAAAAGGAGGAATCTTTCAATGGGGAAGGTTCTGGTTACAATTGTCTAAGAGAGGTTTTCCCTTATTTTAGAGAGAAATCCATATACTTCTCAGTGTGTTTATAGGACATTGTAAAAGTAATTCTCTTTAATAGGACAGATGGAAAAAAAGTAAAAACAGAACTGAAAGGGGTTTTATCCATTAATGTGCGTGTCCACCTCACGTGTCCTCTTTACTTCAAAATAAATTGGAGGAATGAACCAGGCTCACCTATGTCCCAGTGGTAGGAAAATACCACACTGTAAAAAACAAAAGGCAAAAGTAAACATTGGGTACAACCTAGTGCATTAATGCACTAGGGTGTAACTGACTGTGTTTCAATCTTTTAGGTTTTACTCATTCGCTACTCTACACAAAAGTTTTAAAAAGTTTGGCTTTAAATATACTTTATTTAGAATGAATAAATAGTATAGCTCTAAGACTTTATTCTTACTGAAATCTTAACTAATGTCAGTGCTTAAAGGATACGTGCACTTAAAACAACCCCTGCACATATGCATTTGTTGTTTTGGCAGCACAACCCCATTGACATTTATCAGGGCTGTCTCCTGGCCGGCAGAGGGAGGTAGACAAACCTCATAGAGAGCATTGGCGAATTTACTGAGCAGGTACGGCCAGGAGAGGAAGACTTTGGCCACAGAATGTAAACAAACAACAGACGCTGGACCATCAGAACTCCATAAGTATGCATCTGTGAAGGGGAGGGATTAGTTAGGACAGCTTAAAGGGGCCAAAATGATAAGTGCACTTTGTTTTAACCCCTTAGTGACCGAGGCCTTTTTTGTACCCATGATATAATCCACATTTTAGGCCTGAAAATTACTTCAACTCCCCACACATTATATATTTTCTGAAAGCCAAAACCTATAGAATAAAATGTTGGCAGTTTAAAATGTTTATATTGCACGTTTTAGCGCAACTTTTTATCAAACCCAAAATGCACCCACAGGTCATCAGTTTAGAGATACGCATAAATATTGGCCTTAGAATTATTGCTCTCAACATGTGTAGCGTGATTGTCGTTTTCATACGTAGGCGCACCCGACGCATGTTTATGTGAAGACTCGTGAGGGCAGGGAACTTTAAAAAAAAAAAAATTACTTTTATTTTAAATGCTAACACATAGGGGGGCTTACAAGCTTTACCGGCCCGGAGAAGAAATCGGGAGACAGATGAGTCGCTTGATCACTTCTATTGTAAAGCAGACAGTCTGCTTTACAATTGTAAACAGAGTCCCGGCTTCTTTAACCGCCGGGAGTCTGTTTGAACGGGCCCGGTGCCAGTGACGCACTATGGACATCACTGGTCACTAAGGGGTTAAAGTGCATTAATCTTTAAAAGGCAATTTGGAAGAAACTACTCAAACATTTTAAACAATCCTTCAAAATTGATTTAATGTCATTGTAAAATCTCAGTATTATAAAGGCCTCCACCTAAACACATCTCATACATCTAAACACATGAAGGAGTTTTTTGGTTATGGATAGAGTAAGGGAGGATTATAAACCCTTTCAACATTTTTGCCCCCATGAACTATTGGAAAGATTGGGAGAAGAAATACCCCCAAAGTGAGAGCAATCCCTGGTGGTCAGCAGTCACCAGAACCATTAGCAGATTTCCCATCCATTTCTGTTCTGGCGAGAACCCAAAATTTGGGACTTCTTCACTTTCAGTGATAACAGTCACCTAGACAAAGAGAGAGGGTCAATCTCCGTAATGCCGATTCACTGCTGTTGGATATACCCTACACAGCAAGTAATTATTCCCTGGTGATTCGTGCCAGTTTTTGAACCCATAATGCTACTTGTCATATTTAAGCCCTGAAGAAGGGTGAGGTCTCTGAACCCACCAAAACTCATTAGCTGTTCTGTGTTGTCACTTATGAACCAATTTCATTATTAAACATTTTTGGGCTCTCATTTTGTCATGTTTGGTGCTCTCATTAGGCGGTATATATGCATATATGTTCAACCCTGTACTCCCCTGTATATGGGACATCCTGCGAGAGAGGCCTCACTGGAGCCATTGTGCTTTTTCACGTTCCAAACGATCTTCTGAATCTTTTAATCTACAGCCTCACTTCCACTTGTAAGGTTTTTATTGCTGTGGAACAAGTGTTCTAATCCCTCTCCATTCTATCCAAAACTCAAAACAACATTTTTGGATTTAATTGCACTTTTAAAAAGTTGGCGTAATAATCAGTACAAAAATGCACAAGGTTCCGAGTAACCAAAAGAAATATTGCGCCTTTTTGCACTGTTTATTATGCCGACTTCTTTAAAAATTGTGGAATACGTTGAAAAAAAATTAAATACATGTTAAAAAAACCTAATGCAGGGCCCTGTAACTTTTTTTTATGGTTTTAAAATTGTGCTCTATGGAACAAAGTGATTTTGTTAATGTCTTCAATAGCTGTGTAAAGTATGCTTATTGATAACTGGTACTGAGATGTGTTTAGGTGGAGACCTTCTAAAACTTTGGTGTAAATGTTGTGTTACATATCTGATAGGGTGGCTGGACTGGAGTACATTGTTGAATATTTCTTGGGGTCCATAAATACCAGTTTATGGTCTCCAGTACTTGATTTATCGTTATAAAATACTGTAAGTTGCTCTTTGATTGCAGATATGAAAAGGATGCCATTCTCTACTGTTTACTGTACAGTAAAATGAAAACCACAAACTCTACACCACCATGTTTACTCACATTGTAAATCGGCACACAGATTCATAGGGAGAGTCTATCTTACCTTCCAGACAAAGTTGAACAAAGTTTCGGCAAGCTCTTGGTGCTTCCTTTGACCACAACTCAATATCGATATCCCCAGCTGTTGTTTTCAGCAAAACCTGGAATATTTTAGTTGCATTAGACTGTTAGCATTATAAAACAATAGTGTGATGTAAATATTCCTCAATGGCTCTTCTGGTCACCTCCTATTTGAAATTACCACAAAATAAAACAGAAAAAGAAAATGTCTGGTTGTGGTGTATAGGAAGTGTGGATATGAGTGGCTGGAAGGACTCCCACACATACTGTGCATCAGAACCTCTAGTAAAATGTCATATGTGATGCAGTCTGTATCTACCATTTTTGTTATTCTGAATTCCCCTCCAAACAGCAGTTATACCTACCTTATCCATCGTTCCCCTGGCAGCCAGTGCTCTCCTCTTCTCTTCAACGCTCTGAGTTGTGAACAAGACCTTTGTGTCCTCACTTACAATGCAGCACTGCTGGTTCTGCATTAGGCTCCTTAGACAAAAGACGTGCGACCGTACAGTAAAAACGGTTGCACGCCTGCCGCACACTTTGCGATTATGGTACGATCGCGGGATTTGGGCACCTTTACGAACATGTTGGAAAAGCAGCCGAAAATTGTAAGATTTTCGGCAGGTTTGTGGCATGCTCGTAAGACAAATGCCGCACAGGGCGGTGTACGCAAGCGCACACTGCCCGCTCAGCATTGCAGGCATCGGAAAGCCCTCCCCTCAGCGGGGCGGGCTTGCGATTATTGCAAGTACGATCTGCCTGTCCAAGATGGGCAGATCGTAAGAGCTTTTAATTACCTTACAAGCATCGCAAGACGAAAGTCGTGTGATGGTTGTAAAGTGTATGGCCAGCTTAAGGCCTCATGCACACAGCTGTATTGATTTAATGGAGGATCTTGCCGACAGCAAGCTCCTGTGTAAAAAGTTATCCATACTGCATCTGATCTCATTCGTGCATCTGCTTATATCCAATGAGCTGAGATGTGTACATTCTGCACCAGCACCACTGATTACACACTACTGATGTATATATGTTGGTTCTAAATGAGCTATTTTATCCTGGTCCTTGGGTTTTGTTTATTCATGATTTGCACATTATTTATGGCTTTATGCAAATGTGTTTTTAGAATGATCCAATAAAGTCTTGCTGGTTTTATGGGATAATTAATAAATCTATATCTCCTACTGGCTGTTATACAAATCTGATTGTGATCCATTTACATTGTTGATTTGGTATCAGATTAGCTGGTATAATACTTTTGTTGTGTCACTGTGTGGTATTGCTATTGTGATTTGTAGCCTGTTATACGGCTATGTATTATTGCTTCTGTGATTACACAATGAAACAATGAAATGCACCTGAACATGCTTGTATAA